GAGTGGAGGGAGGGGCCGGGGGAGATGGGCGGGGCCGAGGAGAGTGGAGGGAGGGGCCGGGGGAGGTAGGCGGGCCGAGGAGAGTGGAGCTTCCCCACTGAGCTCTCTCCAGGATGTATTGCCTTCCACCACGGCTTTCCCGGGCACTAGGGCCAACCAGTCATGCATTCAGATCTCTAAGGCTGAGCCAAAGTAACCTTTCTCCTTACAAATGAAGAGTCGAGTTTTGTTAGAGATAGAAAGCTAAGTCTCCAAAGCTGTTTTTTCCAAATAATTTTGCTCCTCCCAGCATAATAATTCTGCAGCAATTCCAGCAGAAGGTCACACCTTCCTCAGTCTGATCAGAACCTCTAACTACTTTGTCCATGAAAATGTAGAAATGTTTGGATAACTGTGCTCAAGACTTAATTAGCCTCCTATCTCTCTCCTCTGAATTCACAGGCTGCGTTAAAAGGACGCAGATTGAGGCAGAGAATAAAGGCGCCTCCGAAGGACTGCAGCTGAGCTACCACGCACAGTCAAAAGCACCCAGTACCAGCCAAGCTGATCCATTGCTCCACGCAGAGCAGAGAGAAGGTAGGATGTGCGCCGATCATAAAATCACAACCAGACACAACATTACTGCTTTTTGAGTTGGGGTGTTACACAACAATTGAGAGTTAAAACAAGTTGTGTTAGCAGCAGGACATGGACCAAAACTCCATACGCAGGCTGCTAATTCTAAGGGAGCTCTCATATTTGAAGGGAGATGGGCAGGGCTTGCTCATTATTTTTTCCTGAATAAGGAGTGCTGGGCTTCAGAGAAAGAAAGTTCAGGAAAGTGCTTCCAACATACTGTTACAATTCTGGTTGTAATTGGATAAACATTACAGATTATTTGGGGTGAATTGTCATCTGTATCCTGTCTGATTGTTCAGAAAAATAGAACTGAATTATTTACTGATGTTTTGTGTGTGGAAGGGTGTATGCACTTTTCTGAAGCCCTAAATTTTACTATTTACACTAATGGAAGGGTGCCCATACTGGCATACTGTTGAGATTTAAAATGACTTGTGTTAAAAACTAAATCCTCAAATAAATCTTGATGTCCCCCCAAGAAGGTAAGTGTATGATTTCTGATTTTTTTTCCTATTTTGATTTTGCAAGTTGATGGCTTGTTTGAGTATAGGTGGAGATACTTGATCTAAAGCCTTTATTAAAGCCAACTGCGTTGCGTCCCTTGTTGCTGAATTTTGACAAGGCTTTTAGAGCTGATCAAGTGGTTTCGGTCTCAGTCTTGTTTATACTGATGGATTTACATTGATTGCACATGTTGAGCCATCGTATTGGTAGCACAGTACCTAATGTTTTTTGGTTCATGAGGATTTCACCTACTTTGTGTCTGTTTCATGGGAAGGATTGGTGTTAAGCTTTGTTGTGTCGGTTTGGTATTGGATATACAGTAAGATTGACTGGGGAATGAGTTTGGTACTGTTGCCTGTTTTTGTTTTTAATATTTCATCGTGTAGTTTGAGGAGAATTACTGTAAGGTCTTCGAAAGACTGAATCTCTATATATGATGTTGGTATATGTGGAGTGGAAGGGAAAAAACAAATCGTTAAAACAAGGATACAGGAGGACCCATTGCAACAATGATGTACAAGTTGTTATGTCGAAAAATGAGCTTTACAACTTTGGTGGGGGGACGGGACAGGGGGGTGGGGAAGGGATGGGAAGGGGAAACAAAGGAGGGGGCTACAATGCTTGATAAGAAATGTGTTCATTGTCTTACCCATGTAATTGTAACCCCTCTGTACAGTATTTTCACAATAAAAAGACTGAATCTATCTGGCTCCAAGTTTTATATGAAAATCTCATAATTACTGCTTCAGTTTAATTTCTTGTATGGCCCTATGTTTCTATGATTTAAATCAGCGTTTTATGGCAAAGTTTTCTATGCATCCCAAATTGTGACTGTTTGTATCTAATGAGGGCTGGGGCTGGGCTTGGTTTTCCAGCTTGCTTTGACATGCGCCAGATTACCTTTATTGAATTTTGGGATTTCTCTTGGTGAGCGCCGGGGTGTATTTACTGAATTTCGTGGCTAATCTTGAGCAATTTGGAACCAACTGGTCTACATCATACTAAGACGGCTGTGGTTACAAATGACCCACATCTCGAGCTGTACCTTAGATATTGCAAGTTACTTGGCCTACGGCTATCCTAGTGTAGACCATGAGCTAGTGGGTACCAACTCCCAGCATTTCAGTGTAAACCCTGACTCCTGCTAACCAATAGCATTGTATACCACATGCTCATCAAATAGGGCTGCTGCCGTCAAACTCAATATACATACACAAACATGCATTCTACTAAGGTAAGTACTGACACACTTTGTACTAAGGTAAGTACTGACATTGTGTACTACATGCTTGGCAAATGTGGCTGTTGCCTAATTATATCAACCTCTATATACTCTTTCATACATGATCAAACATGCATTCTATAAATGTGTGTACTGCTTTACATAAAGGTAAGTCTGGACATCACAGTCTAGGAAGACCATATAACAATCGTATAATCTAACTGTGCTGATGGTTAAGGACAGTCATATTGACATCATTCCATCATTAATTTTGCTTATGGTATTCAAACATCAAATCTATATCATTTAAATTCCAGCAGTGACAAGTGTGTGATAAACTATAAAGCCGTGTACACGGAATACTAGTATTTAAAACATTAGTGTTGTAACTGGAAAGTGCCCGTGGATAGGCAATGTATACCACGCAGTCAGAAATTGCTGGCTTTGGCTCCCTGGCTCCTGTGGCTACTGCCTGACCACACACCATTCTGTGCCTTAATGGTAGCTACTGCCTGCTGACATGCCACTCTGCGCCTTAATGATGGCTATGTGGGTCCTGCCCACCAACGTGCCATTGTGTGCCCAGTGTTGGTATTGTGGCTACTGCCCACCAACGTGCCATTGTGTGCC